CAGTAGTCACAAAGCAATCTGGAGTTGAACTTGTAACGTCTGTGTACGTTTCAGTATCAATTTCTCAAAAGCACTTCAAGGATTTAAATGTCTAATTTGTATTATGGTCAGTGGGACTGAAGCATGTAACTGCTCTAAGCAGTCATGGAAATTTCACCATCAGTATCCAATTTTCACAGCACTCCAAGGGATTATCCTTGATACAGAAACCTGAGACAGAGAAAATCCAAAAAACATGGCAAGGAGTTCTGTTTTCCTGTATTCTCCACCTTCCCCTTACATGGTCCTTTCTCTCTGAGTGGAGCTTAGAGGTACTTGTCCAGAATTTCCATTATAAGCTCTCATACTTTCTTTGTGAAAAATGCTTTGTGCTGAAATTTTGTTTCAGATATGTCTACAATTAGTATAAACAAATTTTAAATTAAATTACCAATGTAGGAGTGAAACAAAACCCCCAAATTCCTTATACTCCGACCTTGGTTTCCTCTTGCCCTAATTGTTGACAATGTCCTCTCTCTAAGGTAGCCTGAAACATCTGAACATGATTAAAAATAAAAGCCTTTGGGAATATTCACATTTAAAATGAGATTGCGCTTGTAAATTAATCATTTTCTCTGAAGAGAGAACAGTGTGTGTACCAATCCATTTCATAAGAATGCAGATTATAAAGGATCTTTTTTATAATTTTATACTGAAAATATCACAGATATATGGAAGGACTTCAAAGGAGACAATAGGCTGTTTTACTGCTAGCCCTTAGGGTAAGAGAGTCCATGTACTGTGTGTTTATGTGTTAGACTATAGGGATGCCAAAGGATTCTGTCTTTTCTTATGCATTAGAATGAATTACAACATAAATGGAGTAACAACATATTTTTATGCAACAGCTAATGGTTACACATGTAAACAAGCAAATAAAAAAAATATGAAAATATGAAACCCAAACAAAGAGAATCAGCAGCAGTATGGGTTTATAGCTGGGTATAATGAACTTGTAGGGGACACTCCCCAGAGCTTTTATTTTCCACATTAAACTCTGATGCTTCCTTCTCAAATATTACCTCTTATGGCATTGCTGCCATTGCCACTTTGTCATTAGCCTGAGAAATACCAGTGCCATATCTATGCTTGGGAATCCTTATGCCCATCAAGTCCAAGGAAAAGTTTATGACAAAACTGTCATGTAGGGAAGAGAAACACCCTACAAGATCATTGTTTTCACTATCTTGAATAACAGAAAAAAAACATAAATCTGTCCAGTCTGAGGCTTCTTTATGCAGCTCTGGACAAGACGAAGTCCAGGGAAGCAAAAAGCCTAGCTGCTAGCAGCAGCAGTAGCAGTCAGAACAGCACAACACTGCTGAGACACTGAGCCCCCAAAATGCAGCAAAAGACCCATCATACCAGCTGCATAACTGTAAACAAGGAGCATTGTGTGGCAGTGCTTCTATTCCACTGAAGTCCTGTCATACCAGTTGCACTCCTTTATGGCGCAAGCAAAATTTTTTGATGAAATCTGATAACGACTGCTCACCAGGTTGTCCTCCCCTGATTAAAATGTCCCCCAGTCCTTTCCCCAAGTAATAAAACATCACTGTAAACAGAGCTTCAAGTACCAAGGGCTTTGCTTTGCACTCGTAGTGTCTGCAGTATGTCCCACAGTCTGTCCACCTGTGGACAGCAATTCTGGCATCACCACAACAGCAAAGACTTTCTTATGGTCTGTGTGGAAGGCTGGAGGTCCAGATACCCAAGAAAATCTCCCCGTTCTGTCAGAAACTTCCATGTAACACCAACAAACGTCTTCATCTTTTCCAGCTGTGTCTTTGCCATGTTTCCAGTGTGAAAACTGAATCTAAATTTAAATCCACATCCACTTGGTATCTGTGCCTCTCCTGATCAGACAGTGAAACCCCGAAGGCCGTATCTCTTACTCTGTGTTTCTACAATACCTATCAAAACAGGGCTATGATCTCATCTGAGGATTTCAGATCCTGTCATCGCAATAACACAATGCAATAGGTTCTTCCTAGGGTCTGAGCTTTTCCTGCACCACACTCTCCTTCCAGTATTGCTAAAATAGCAAAGAATTCTGCCCTGAGGAGGTTCTGAGCTGTCACCCAAAAGTAGAAGAGATTGTTAATATTGCACCTTTGCCTCCACAAGTCTCTGAAGCAACAGCATTCAGATAAAATGTATTGGCTTGCACACTGCAAGAGGAAATTCCAGTAAGAAACCTGTTTCTACTGGTTCCAGGTGGCTAGCAGAGGCATAGGTCTTCATGCCTGTTTGTTTCTGGAGCAAATGGTCTTTCTCATTGAATCAAAAAAGGCTAATTCAAAATTATAGAAGTCAGGAGAAGTCAAAAGATAAAGGAAATTAAGTAAAAATAAGGAATGCAGGGAATTTGGCTTTTTGCCATCAAAATGAAAGGGACACAAAATAATTCTGATCTTTTTTATTGGATCTGGGGTCAAAAGGTAAAATACCCCTAATTCAGCAACCGAGCAGACCTGATCTTTACCCAGAAGCACATCTAACACATAATAGGGGCACTTCCCCCATTTAATCATACGATGCAAGCCAAATCCAGCTTAAAAGATTCCCTATCACTTCATTAAATTTGGCAGATGGCTGAACAAAGCACATTGTGCCAATCTCAGCTCTCAGTTACATCATTGCCGCTGCAACAAAAAATGCAATAGGGTGGTGAAGTGACTTGGGGAGGCATTTGCCATGATATTTGTATGAAGGAAATAGCTTGCTCCAGAACAGAAGAGGATGAAAAGCTCATTTGTCTTTCTGTTTCTGTGTGTAACTTCTTACCTATGCACCACTTTCCCATTATTTCTGTGAATGTGAAAGAGCAGGCTCCTGTTCTCAATAATGTGATCAATGCAGTCATTGTCAGGCTTAAGGAACTTGTTCCAAAAAGTTTCCTTTTACAGCTAGTAGATCAAGTTGTGGGTTGCTGTCTGGGCTTTCTGTACTCATGAAGACCACATCAAAGAGAATTGGCACAGTAAACTGTCTTGAAAATAGAGAGATGTAATGTATTAGGCAGCCGAATAATTAGTGCAGGCTCAACGAGCATGTTAAGTCACCTGTTTAACTCTATCAGCAAAATAAATAATTACACACTACTTCCCTTCCTTAGAAAACAAAGTTTAAGAGGAAGTGATTAATGGTAAAGACAAGCACTGCTTTTGTGTTTGTGGCACACACGTCTTTTGAGATGCTTCAGCATTTCAGTGTTTCAAGGGGGTTCTTCAAAATAAGGGAGAGACTCCCACTGACAGCAGAGGGCTCAGAATCAGACCTGAAAGGTCATCTTTCAAATACTAATTTTCATATAAGTGATCCCGAGCTCATTTCAGAGATTCTCTCATCCTTCACATTCTTCCTAACATCGCATTTTTAGTAGGAAAGGCATCATAAACCAAGGTGAAAACAATTGTAAATTATTATTCTGCTGTGATTCAAATAAAATCTTGTACTTTGATGAAGACTGTAGAGGAGTGATTGTCTTCAGTGTATCCATATACGGGTTTAGTTCTCCAGCACTGGGTAACTGAATCTTACTATATGCATGGTCTGCTGTCCACTGTCTCTGAACAGCATTAGAGATGCCAGCCTAGCTGGACATTACTTGACCACAGGTGAGCAGACTTTGCGTTGCCTATATTGTGAGACATACAGGTGTTCCTCTGCTTTTCAGAAAATACTTCTTTTCATCACCCCAAACTTTTAAATTACAGTTTCCTTGATGGGTAATGTTAAAGGGATTTTTATTTTGTGCGTGTGCCATTTTAGCGACCTCATTACACACAGGGATGGTTTCTATCTCATCTTTTTGCTGCCTAACCATAACTTTTGCTTTTAAAAATAGATAGTGTATGAAAGGGGTGTGGAAATAATTTTCTATGATATTGCTCAATATGTTCAGTGTTGTGGCCTGGAGTATTATATGACCTGAAGGAAGGAGACTTTACAGTATGTCAGAGCAATTTTCATTAAAAAATATGTCCAGATTTATGAGACTGGAATGGCTGAATGGCTCAGAGCTCTATGAGTTTAGTAACTGAAGAGACAAACCAGGTTTATTATGAGCTCCCAGTGATGCTACGAAAGAATTTAACTGGAAGGAGGCAGAGAAATATTTAGTATCTATTTTAAAATGGGTCTTGGAAGATATTTCTTTTTGGCGTAACATCACAATACTGTGTTTGTTGAATAGACCAGGTACCAGCGCCATTACAATACCAGGGAATTACACACTCTCACACATTCAGGCAAATACACTAATTGCAAGTCCCAATACCAATCCTGGGTTGCCTTTACCTCAGAGAATGAGGGACAGATTCATACACCTCCTTAGCTAGTGAAATCCCAGTTTACAGGAGATTCTCACTGGAATTAGTAGGGAAAGGAAAAAATACCCCCAAGTTAGCAAAAATGTGTCAGCTCCCATTGGACAAAAGAAAAATCAGACCTTGTCTGCACCCACAGCAACAGGCAGTGACCTGTGTTTCCTGTCTCACCCCATTCTGTCTGCTCACAGATGAGGTGACTTTGCAGTGACTTTTCATTTCCCAGCCTCCAAAGCAGCTAGAGAAATGAATATGTTGCAGAATGTAATTAAGGGGGAGATAGGGCTGACTGAAGGATGGGTGCAATTAAATGCTGGGAGGGATGGGAGGGGAGCAGAACTAGATACGGCCACTACATGATGAGAATGTGTTTATCTGTCACATCATTTACAATGCTCAGGCACTTACAGGAGATAAATTATGACTTAAGTTTTAATATTAGCCACCACGTAGCCAGCCCTGAACATTTTATTAAGTAAGAAGAAACATGTATTTCATCACAGTCACACCTTCACACTGACCTGGAATTGGAGCAGTGTAATTACATATTGTGTCTGGGTTTTGGTACCTTAGGGACTGGTAAAACAGGAAATAATTAATCTAACTGCTAACTGCAAGAAACAAATTTTGCAAAGCTGCTCTGAATTGCTCTTCCTTCAAAGCAGAATGTGGCTCAATAGGAAAAGTGCTACCATAAGAAGTCTGTTAATTTATCCTATATGAACTTGGGTGTGCAAAGGATAAAAGGTATGATTTAACTGATTCCTTTAGTTTCTGTGTTAATTGAACAAAAGTAAACAGGCAGATGGGAGGAAAGTGGAACAGGCACCATTCTGCCACTGTTTAACTTCACGGCAGAATTCCCGCTAACACAGAGGGAATGGAAAGAATCCTGTCTTCATGTGATTTTTAAAAACAGGGAGTACCTGTGATTTCAAAGAGTGTACAAGTCTGAAGAGTCACTAATGAGAGTCTTTTTCTAAGAGCAGAGGGCTGCAAATAGCTCAAAAGAACAAATTCCAGCTTCGTGCTCTAGAAAGTCTCAAGTATGGGAGAAAAAGCTGTGGAACAACATCTCAAAAACCTTAAATTGACTTATGGATGTAATGTAATCCACAGGATGAAAGCAGTAGGACAGATTTTATTCAGTTTTGCAGAAACATTTTCCTGGGGATTAAATCTGACAAAATTGAAACCCATTTTCCATGGCAGGGCTGTGCAAATTGCAGAGCAGAGCCAGGACTTTCCTGGGGAGGCTGGTCCCAGCTTTCACTGGGAAGAAAGCAGGAGCATATGGAAAGGAAGCAAGGCATTCCCTCCAAGGTGAAGGTGTGGCAGGCTCCCCACTTGCTACAGAGCTGCACACCCAACAATGGTGTTTAGGCTTGGCTACGATGGCAGCTGTTCCGTTCTGGGGGACACCTTGTGTCATAGTGATAGACATGCAGATCACCAGCTTGCTTCCACGTACGCACTGCCCACACACCTCTGAAGACACCTACATACAAAGAGCCTGGCAAGGGTTATGGGTCAGAGTAATTGCAACACCAAGAAAGGTGATAGTTTAAAAGGAAATAGCAATTTGATGTGTAATCAGGCTGGGATCCTTTATTTTTGCCCACAAAAGGACTAATCAATCACCACCATCACAACTGAACCACAGAGCACACCTTCAGTAGCAACTCTGCATGGAAGAAGACTGCCACCTTCCTGCTTTTAAAGCAGACCCCCCCCAGTAGTCCTTTACAACAGTAGCCTGCCTGCCTTTTACTGTTTTTAATCCACCCAGCTCACCATCCTACTTTTTTACAACTTTCATAGACAGGTTATCATTAGGATATAAGAAGAAAGTGGGAGAAAACTACTGAAAAGAGCATGGATCTGACTCCAGTGAAAGAGAAGGGCTTTGTTAATTTGCCGGAAATTCCATTTTCTCCCCTCTCTCTCAAAACCGTGTACAAATTAGACATTTACATGATAGATGAGTATGTTCCTTTCTTAGGGAAAGTACTCTGCTGGATCTTGGAGCTCGGGTAAGTTCCATGTAATGTGGCCGTTGCCAAGGAAACTACTTGTTCTTAATTGAATAGTAGAGAAAATATTTGTGTAACTTATTGGCACATAAATTAAGGTTGCCCCTGAGCAGACTTAAACTCACACAATCTTTTTTTTTTTTTTTTTTTTATTTGACCAAATTGCCCTGGTTTCTTCAACTTTCTTTTAACATCATGGAAGAGTCACAAGATGCCAATAGCCTCTCCTGCTACGCAGACCAGTGTTAAAATTGCATGATGCTTAATTTTAACACCTACAAGAGAAAAAGCTTGACTGTTGCAGAGGAGATGACAATAAAATGCCAAGTATGTATGGGCTAAGCAGGAAAAAGGTAATAAAATAAATTGTTGCAGCTAAAACTTCTCCCAAATGCCACATCCTCAGTGATAACAGTGATGAAAACCTCAGTTTGCCCACACTGGGGTAGCTCCACTGAAGTCAATAGATTCATTCTGATTTACATCTGCTGAGCCTTTTATTTATTTTTTGTCTTTGCCTTGTCACTGTTTTTTACCATTTATTCAAATTAGTATTGGTTTCTGAAGGACAAAAGTAGTGGTTATCTTACAAAAAGGATGACTTTCATGCAAAATCTGAAGGACTGTAAAATTCCAGGGCAGGCTGTTTAAGTTTAGCAGTCCTTTGCTGCTATTGATGTGCAGGAAACAGGCTGCGCAGCCAAGAAGAGAGGGAAAACATGTGAAGGAGGTGGAGTAGGTCATCTTACCCTTAACTTTCCATTCCGTTTATGCCTCCTTCCTGGGATACTGCTGGGAAACAATGGAGTATCATGGACCAGCAATACCAGAAGCTGAAGGTGTATATTAAGTTCAGTCATTCTTTTTTGGTTGTTTCTGGCAGAAAAAAAATTGTCCTTAATATTTTGCTCTTTAGCAGAAATTGTCAGTAGGGAGGCTTCTGATAACCAAATAATAAGACTATACTGCTTGAAAAACATGCATTTTTCCTTTCTTTATCTCTCCCATACAAATTTCATCCATAATATTTCAAAATGTTAATATCTAATTTAATTGAAGCTTCTCTGAAACGGTCTTATTAAGGTTCTTCCCAAAAAGGAGGTAGTGAAATAGGGTTAATTAGATAGCCATCTTGTAAGGAACAAATTAACAGCAACAAACATTAAACTAAGCTATTTCACCCTGTCTTGGTAAATTATCTTCTTTTAAGCCATGGTCTTACTATTTTGGAGGTGGAGAATGGATCCTTCATTTCTCAGGTCCTGCAGAAGAGCAGTCATCCTGGATTGAAGAATCCTATGACACAGCTGTTACACTAGATGTCTGCAAAAATGCCTTTAAAATATAGACCACTGTAATATCTCACATGTAGTCCTTTGCCACTAATTTATTTCATTTGCTTAATGAAATGAGGCTTTTCGAGTTCAACCAAAAAAAAAAGATTCTTACCCAAGTGATTCCTCCTTCCATTAAAGATGAGGAAGGACAGTGGTGAGTGTGGTGCCCTTTCAGTCACTGTTGAGTTAGTACGGAGCCTATAAGTTCAGATAACTGAGGATAAATGTTGGTTAATTCAGGGTTATGTGCCTACCAGACAAACACTGAATAAAAATGTGGTAAGATGCTATTAGACCAGGGCAAGGAGCCCAAACAGCATCATATAGGTGACCCTGTCATTTAAGTTGAACTTGTATTAATAATGGTCCTTAATAAGCTGTCAATCTCTAAGGAGAGCCTTTTGTGCCTTTTCCCTGATGCCTTTGTGTTCGCTTACTCGATGGCCACAAATCAGCCCTAGCTGAGCTGCGGTCAGTGCTAGGGCAGCTTGGGAAAAATGAAGCTTCTTTCTCCTTGTCTTCCTTGTGCTCTTGCTTTTTTCCCCCTTTCTTTGCCTTTCACTACCACACAAATCATAAAAATTGCAGGCTGGGGGTCAAGCTGCGTAAAACAAGAAGACACCAGTTTCCTCTTTGTTTCAGTGCAGAGCACAGATGGGAGGGGGGAAACTGCTATTCCACTGAGATAATTGCCATCAGAGTAGAAAATCCAAAAGTATCGCCACAACACTGGGAAACAGAGGATGTTTTTCAGTTATTAGGATATCCAAATGGATTCCTTAATACCTGCTGAAAAGCAATAGGAAACATTTCACTGGGTGGTTAAGATCTGCACCACTTTTCCTACCTCTTCCTGTTAAACTAGTACCAAAATTAAACTAAACCCCCAAGCATGCTGAGGACCATAAAGTAATCTGTGGGTTTGGACAGGGTGCAGCAGAGCCTGGTACTCTCAAAACCTCATGGGGGAATGGCTTGATCTTCCTCCATCACCCATTAATGTCTGCTGGTGGCCTGTTCCTGGATGTGAGAAGTGCAAAGCTTACCTGGGATAAGGGTGTTGATATCAGCTGTGCTTCCAGAGCTATTTTCTCAGCTACTTCAAGGCACAGTGACACAGAGAAGGTCTCTCGCTTGGCTCATTTAGCTTGGTTTGAGGCTTGTCACAAGACTGGGCTTGCTCACTGTCTGTGTTCCCTCCCTTCAGACACAATATCTAAACAGTGACCCTGCTGTAAACTCCAGCAGGCTCTGGCTACAGCAGGCCACAGCATCTCCTGTCTTGCAGGCTCCAACCTGCCTCTTCATGCAGTCTGGGTGGACACAAGGCAGAGCCAAGCGCACCCCAGCCCTTCAGGCTTTGGGCCTTGTCTGCAGTCCAGATGTAAGCAGCAAAATGGGCAGACAGCATGGGAGTTACGGACCACAGGTTCTCTGGTATGATGATGCTTCTTCCCCAGCGGAGCTCGCAGCATGGTGCTCTCCAATTGTTCTCGCTCAGCTTGGCTGCGCCCTGTGCTCCAGCACCACCATCAAATCAGCACACAAAGCAAGTGTATGTGCCGAAAGGCTTCTGCTCAGTTTACCAAGTCCCACTAGATTAAATCTTTTAGAATGTGCTCAATTCACCTTGATTTTCATCAAAACTTGTAGTTTATGTAGTGACTGCAATGCTGGTTAGGGGTGTGACAGTTCTATGACACTTCAGTAGTCTAACATCCCAGTTGTAGAGAAGTTAAGCAGAAAATACTCCTTTTCCAGTATGTTCTTACCCAACTTGCATGGAGTTACCCAAAGTAACCAGGAGCATGGGTGGCCTTACTTACTAGAATAAGAGGCACTTGGATCTTTGAAATGGGAATTCACGTGATTTTTGTCAGCCACCAACATTTTTGTTTTGTCACTGATCCTTGAACGTGGACATTTCTTGTTTGCAAAGGAGCTGTTTCCTATAAAAATTGTATTTATCCTTGAATACTCAACATCAAAAAAAACTTTAAAACCCTAACTAGTGTAATGGTCAAGACAGAAAAAAAGCTAAGCATCGTCTCAGCACTAAACACAGAGAACCATAGATTTACAAGTGAACAAGATTTAGTTCCCCCCACATTGTATGTGCAGCAACTTCTGCCCTTATTCTGTTTCATTTTTTTACCACCAACACGAGCAAACTACTTATTCTGTTCTGTGTTCTGATTGCTGCCACCACCAGGATAATAATCCATACTGAAATTTCAGTGCCATAAGAATCATTTCATTTTTGAAAAGTGCTATGGCATCTCAGATGAAAGAATATTTAGAAGTTAAAGGTATTTTATTACCATTGTTACCAACTTGTTTGAAAAGCAAAAGCAGTCTGAAAAGACTCTGCTAAAGA